GCGCGCTCGCAAACCCTGAGCCTTCGCGAGCGCCCCAGGGCGTCGAGGCGACGTTCGCTGGAAAGCACCTGCTCTTCTGGGAGCTTTGTGGGGCTCTCTGCAGTCTGATAATCACCTCTTGGTTCGTCAGCACCAGCTAAACCTGCTGAAGCGACGTGTTTCCTGACTACCCTCTGCACCCCCTGCCCTGGCCACCCGCCTTGGACTTTCCCAGGCGCCAGGGCTGCGTGGAGCCCAGCTCCAGGGCTTTCTGTCCTACCTGGGCAAACAGCCCACTGCTGCTGGCTTGGAAATCCCTGGCCAAGGGATTTCCAGCCACACAGGCTAGCCAGCTGGCTGGAGGCAGGGCAGGGGCCGGGGAAGGAGGGTCTGATATTCCCGCACGCAGGGTTTATGCCAGCGCAACCACACCGAGTCCTGCAGCGTTGCTGCTACGCTGACCACAACGCGAGAAGGGCACTTTCGGTTTTATTAGAGTCTTTATTGACCCATGTTAAAAAAAAGAAAAAGAGAATCTGCAAAACTGCTTCTGTAAAGCTGCCCAAGACATTTCTATGTTTATCATGAAACTGCCTCCTGGCAGGTACTGGACTTCCATTGTGCTCTTCAGCTGAGGACCCAAGGTATCTCCGTTACCTCCAAGTGGGGACACTGAGGCACCTAGTGAAATTAAGTGACTTGCCCAAGGCAGTGGCCACAAACGCAACCCAACAGCTCCCTTTCTTCCCCATCCCATTAGATGCTGCAGCCCTAAGGGACGGCTGGGGCCAAGCCCACCCGGTTATTTCCACGATCAAAGACGGAGTAAAACTGCCGAATGAAAACGTCGCCCAGGATCCAGAGCGGGCCGGCAGGAGGGGCGATGTCCATGCCCTGGAAGCCACTGACGCAGATGGCCATGCCGTCACTGTCCTCCTAGAGGGGAAAAGGTTGGTGAAGCTGAGGAGCAAATTGGAGAACCTTGCGCTGGCCAAAAATGCAGGAACTGTGATTTCTTAGCAGTGGGCTACGTCACCTGAGGGCCTTACCATGAGCATGTAGGCCTGGGCATTGAGTGTGTAGAGGACCCCGTTGATGGTGAAGGTCACACTGGGCATCATGCTCAGGCTGTCGCACTGCACAGCGTACTGCGAGACAGGAGATGTGGCTCAGCTCGCCCGGCCACGTGGCAGGGACGGCTGCCGCCTCCCAGACTGGGGAGCCCCTGGCGGGGCAAAAGCAAGTGATACCGTATGTCCCTTTCTCAGAAAAGATATTGTGAATTTAGCACAGATGGAAGAGAGAAAGTGTTGGTTGTGGAAGGAGAAATGAGCTCATGATGGCGTGAGTCCATGAAAAACTGTCTCTGCTGGGATGCTAGCTGATATCGCCTATGGGCTTTCTCAGGACCAGAGCCCACATGTCTGCACAAGTGATGCCATTTTTCAAGCAGCTCTTGTAGCTGGGGCTTATAGCAATATCCCTCGGTGGGACGTCTGTCACAGTGAGACAGGAACCCCAGGACTTTGCCCCCCACCTCTCCCCTGCCCCGGCTCTCACCTCTCCATCCACAGGCACGGCACCGATGTAGTTTTGCAGTTCTTTGATGTCATTGGTAGGACCTGTGAGGAGCGACGTCCCAGTGTCCACGATCGCCTGGCACCCGCTGGCGCAGAATGCCACCGTCCCCCCAACTTGGATGCTACAAGAGAAGAAACCGAGGTGAGGAAAGGACCAGCACCCCACCCCCCAGCCCCAGCCAAACCCTTCCCGTGCCCCGTGCCGCTCACTTGTCGATCTGGATTTGCCAGTAACCTTGCTGAGTGACCGGCACCCAGTTGAGGGTCCCCACGAAGCGGGAGGGGTCAAAGCCGCCGAAGAGCAGCTCTCCTCCCACAGAGGAGTTTGGGTTCCTGGGGGGAAGAGGAGATATGAGCGGTTTCCTTGCTTTTGCTTTGCACATCGCTTTTTAAACAGGTGGATTTATCTCCGTAGGCTTCCTCCAAATGCTTAGGCTCATTAGCTTCATTTCCGCGAAGCTAGGACTGCTGCAAGGGAACCTGAGAAGATCCCCCTTACTGTCTTGGTGAAACATCTGTATTTTAACAGCCCTTTCTGAAAAAAGGGGCCTGAGCCTAGGCAATGGTCCCCAGAGCAAAGCCGTGTCCTCACGTGCTCATGTAGACAGAGAACATAGGCAGCTCCACCAGGTTTTGTGCCATCATGTTGTCGAAGACGGGGGTGATGCCGTCCACGGCCAGCGAGGGGTAGGCCAGCCCCAGGACCCCATCAAACATGGCATCCAGGAAGGTCTTGCCGGGCTCGTTGATGCTCTCTGCAAACTGCTGGTTGACCACGGTGAGACCCTCGACCTGGGGGCAGGAAGAGCCTCCCTGGTGCTTCCACGTCCTCGGGGAAAACGAGCCCCCCAGGGTCGGAGAAACCACACGACTCACCGTTACTTGGTCAGAGCCGATGACCCCGGTCAAACTGCCCGTGCCGTACTGGATGGAGAAGGGGGTGCCCACGGCCTGGTACGTGCTGGACTGGGACGGCTGGAAGCGCGAGTGCGCCGCTGCGGGAGGAGAGGC